AAGTTACTCATTTTTTTAATGGGGATGTTTCTAGGGGACTAGATGTCAAAACAATCCACTTATATAAGTCAAGTGAAAAAACAAGAGATTCCAAAACAAAATATTTAGAAGATACAGAGAAAATGGGAAATTTGCAAGACCTGGTAGATCTCCAAAACTGTTCCCATCAGATAAACAGCACTTAAAGCTTTCATCTTTGAGAGAGAGGAGAAAATCAAGCTCTGATCTGAAAACATCCACAGGTGTTTCTGTCCATTCTTCCACTGTGAGAAGACAACTTAGTGCTATGGGTCTGAAAGGATGTGTAGCTGATCAAGAAGACATCCTTGAAAAAAGGAAATAGACAAAAAAGAAGAAATGGAGAAGCTGCTGGTGGACTGGCCAAACCAGAGTCCAAACCTCAGCATCTTTGAATGTGTTTGGGATGACTTGGATAGTGAGAAGGAAAAGATGGGACCAACTTCTAAGACTGAACTTTGGTAGTTTGGGGGGAAAAAAAAATCCCTGTAGATTTTTGAAAAAATGCAAATGTCTAGAAAAGAATGGAAGACAAAAGTTGGGGACAGATTTTTTTTTCAGTTTTGACTGGGTACTGAAAAAATGAAAGGGTGGTCTCTGAGTTTTGCACAGTACTGTGTATTAACACAATTATAGGCCAAGACAAAGTTCTCAATGCATTTGGAAATGATGAACTTACGTTATGTCAAGTGCAATTTGTCAATGCTGTTAGTGCTCGGACTTTCTCACGGGTATTCCGTGCCATATCAGGAATATCTTTGGAACTAAGTGAATACGATAGGGCATTAGTCATTGACAAAACGTGCCATTTGTGGAGGGATTCTGTGTGTCGATATGTCTATTATACAGTCGTGTGTTTTGTGGGACTAGATTTGCTTTTCTCTGGTAATTGGACTAAATTGAACAGTGAAAGGAATGTGTTAATTAGAATATCCCAGCAGACAGCACAAGCCTCTGTTACTTTTCCCAATAAATCACTGGCGCGAGGAATTGAAATGTCAAGCGAAAAGGTGTAGAGCCTCCAGTTTCCGAGATTTATTTCAGAATGCATGCGTACACATTGTCAAAAATGTACGTCCCCTTTGTCCTTTGCATGTATAAGTTATGTTAAGGTGTCGCCTCGCCCGTTGATATGAGTGAGGTCGGTGAGATTACGGCTTTCATTTGCGGCATTCATTGCGTTCCTCATAACTCGGGCTCACATTCTCGCATTTCAATCCAGCAGTGCTCATGACAGTCACGCGAGAAAGAGCATGATAGGACTATTATTGAATAATGGAGCCTGCTGTGTATAAAGAGCCAACGTCTTTATTGTCGTTCCCTCTCCCGGGGGTTAAAATGAAAGACCAAGGACGGTATATCTGTAGGGATCACGCTCGGGATTTATGAGCTGTGAATTTGGCTCTCATATCATCATCTATTCTGTTGTAGTTACCCTCGGCAGACAGGAGTGCCCTCAAGGTGCTTATCTTCAAGGGCATGGCGGGTAGCGCAAGCATTTCAAACAGGTTAGATTGAGAGGGAAGGGTAGGAGATGGCATGCCTGGGAAATCAGCAGGTTGATTTGCATAGTAAGAGTAGTTTTGTGGGGAGACCCGAGGCAGTATATGTTGAATATATTTACTGATTACTAAAGTTCTTTTAAGCTGATTCCGCTTTACTTTCTAACCTAGTCCTACTTGATCTTTGCCCAGCCTTTGATATTATTTGTCTTTTAGATCAAGTTCCCTCCATTCTCCCCATTGGTATCACTATATTTATATATACTTAACTGATAGGAAACATTTTATGTCTATTCATCACTTAAAATCAACCACTGCTACAGTTTTTATGGACTATGACTCTTAATTCATATAAAATATGTATATATAGGTTGGATATGTAAATCTTGCTTTTATTTTATTGTTAAAGGGCTTGGGTTATGTTATTATTATTATTATTATTATTATTATTATTATTAATAGTATTACTACTACTACTACATAAGGACCTTAGAAGATGTACAAATATTTATGAATAAGGATTGAGTTACACACAAACATTCATATCAAATTGCATAGAAAAATAAAGATTGAGATTGAGTTCTGTTTAGTGATGATGTTATTATTATTATTATTATTATTATTATTATTATTGTTATTATTACATCATTTACTACATAAACCATTATAATGGCATAAGCCATTCATAAATAAGTATTGCTTTAGAAACATGTTTTATATGAATTTTTATCTGTGTTTTTAATGTATTTTATATATTTGATTCTCTATATTAAAGTTCCTGTCTTTTAATTATTTATTGGAAAGCATTTTTTAAACAAACAAACAAACAAACAAACAAACAAATAAATAAATAAATAAATAAATAAATAAATAATCATTCAAAATAAAATCTTGTCAACTAACAATACCTTATTTCTTTTTCTCCTTTCCCTGAAAAATTCAGAGATATGAGGTGGGTGTATATGTACAGTCTTATGCAAAAGTTTGAGCGCCCCGGTCAGATGTGAAAATAAGTACATATTTTCAACAAGGTCACACATTTTAGTGTATAATTACACAGATTATAATTTGCACAGAAGCAGCAGCCGTGAATGTTCCAGTCACCCAAGAAGAAACAGGGAGACATATTTGGTACCAAACACCTGTCCCAGGAAGGATATACTCACCTCTGAATCACTTTTGTGTCACATCGTCCAGCGCAGTGACAGGTCTTTCTTATCACTCACAATGGATACGGATTTTGTTGCCACGGCGGCGCTCCGCCGAACCGCTACGGCTACAATTCCGCAAATCATGTTGAGTTGACTTGGCAGGCCATCAGTGCTTTGGAGCACATTCTGCTTCTTTAGTCACCATGCATTTAAATAATTCTCCTTAACATGCGGGTTAACCGTTAGCCTAGTGTGACTCAGTGACTTACTACCCACTTAAATGCTTAATGATGGCAGGCACTGTATCTTACCAGCAGCGTGTCAGTTCTAGAAATGTGCTTTAGATCCATCTGTGCATGTCTGGTTAAACAAATGCACAAAATTTCATAGTAGCGCTGGGGAGTAGGGCCATTAGCAAGCAAGACAGGCCATTGCATTAGCGTCGTAAACGTCAATGTCCAGTGCATTTGGCAGCTGGGTCTTGCCTGAAGTGCCATCATGGGAGGTGAGTCACCAGGTCGTGGTCAGTTATGGCCCATATGGGTATCTTGATAAACATAGCAAAGGTCTGAGAGCACCCTTAGAGGAAAAGTTCAGATTCCACTGAGGATCTCGGTTATTACAGCCAAGAATTCCATTCCTCTTTTCATCCATTCCACCCCGATGCTGCTGCCACCAGAAAGAAATCAATACGGCTGAATGGGGATCAGATGGCGAGAACATGGCCCCGGACACAAGACCTATCAAACCATATCACGAGCTGATGGAGCTGCAGCCTGGGTGTTTTATGTACCTTTGGGTTTATTGCCGCAATCTGGTGTACAATTAAGCCTGCCTAATTTCCCAAGGCTTTCTGTCCATCCGAACTGGCCAGAAACATAAAGACCCATTGAACTCAAATGCTTGAACTCCGAGAGGACCCTTTCTCCCACTGGAAATGTTCAAAGCGAGTCGAGGCAGGAGTCATATAGGAGCTAATACTTCAATTTCTGGTCTGTTCTCAGCAACACATCTCCACAGCATAAACACTTGGCTCCTTCTCTGGAGCCTTTTCATGTTTGTAAACAAAGCACTTGCGTATGCCCAGTTGCATTGTATCTGTCGACCTCAGCTGCAGTCTGCTAAGCATCGTGCCCAGCAGCAACTCGGCGATGGCCTACATATCATGGTATTTTATTGGAGACACCACTTTTAAAAGAGTCCAACTTTGAGTATTTGTGCAGTACAAATTTCATCTTAGGGCAACTGTATGGTAACCTAAGAACTACAGTACTGTGCAAAAGTCAGAGACCACTTATCTTATTTCAAGTCAAAACAGCTATTGAGTACAGGTCAGTCCTTTTTCAAGAGAACAATGGACTGGCCCCAAAACTCAGACCTCAATATTGAACACCGTTGAAAGTGTTTGAATCATGAGATGCAGCCAACTTCTAAAACTGAACTTTCGAGGTGTGGGAAAATATCCCTGCATATTTCATCAAAAGGCTGAAAGTCAATCTCCTGGCCAAGGCTAGACATACTAAATACTGAAAAAGTTTGATATTTTATTTAGTTGTTGGGACTTCTGTTAAATATGTGTTCTGCCTTTTTCCTGACACTGAAAAAGAAATACTAATACTTAACACCTAATGACAGTTTTGACCAGAAATTAAACGAACAAAGTGCAATCTCTGATGGCTGCTATCGTTAATAATGAATACGGGAAGTATGGAAAACATTGGTAAAGTAGTTATTTGAGGTTGTTGGAAGGTGATCTTCTCCAAAAGTGGTGCATAAATGCAAATGTCCTGGCATTTAAAGATGGAAGTAAATGAGCTTCTTTTTTATTGTTCACAATAAAGGATCCATCCAGAACTACTTAATAATTCATACGTATGTCGTGTAGTTGTGGATAATTAAGGCTTCCATTCCCAAGCTGTTCAGGAGTTGCTTAATAGATGCAAATAAAAGCTTCTTTCACTGCTGTCATGTCACCTTTGTAGCCTCTCACAGTAAAAAGGATATAAAATCCTACATTCTTGTCAACATGGTGAGAATTAGCTTGAAAGGACTTTCTGAAAAGAAACAAGCAAGCAGACTGTTTGAAAAAGAAGCAAGCAAGCAATCAAACAAATATCCAGATATAATATTTATTAGGCTGAGCAAATGCAAAGTTGATGATTATGTCAAAATGCTGGAAAACCTGACAGCTTTTTTTATCTCCTGAAATGTTGCTATTTGCAGACCATGGTGAACCGAGCACATTTGCATTCTTTCATGACAGTTGAAAGCTACAGTCTGTTCTGATGGATGTCTGTGTCTGTCTCTCTGTGTTGTGTGTCATCCACAGGACCAGGAAGCTGATAAACCATGGATCGGTGGTACGTTTTGTGTGTGATGCTGTTGGGGGTTTTGGTGCGGGGGCAACACTGCCCAGGGCGCTGTATCTGCCAGACGATTTCCCCAACCCTGACCCTGCTATGCGCCAAAACCGGCCTCCTATTCGTACCCCCAACAATCGACCGCAAGACCGTGGAGCTGAGGCTGACAGACAATTTCATCACGGCCGTCCGTCGAAAGGACTTCTTCAACATGACAAGCTTGGTGCACCTGACCTTGTCCCGGAATACCATCAGCCAGATTGCCCCGCATGCCTTTGTGGGACTCAAGGCACTGAGGGCCCTGCACATGGATGGTAACCGACTGACCGATATAAGGAATGACCAGCTAAAAGGTTTGATCAACTTGCGGCATCTAATCCTGGGCAACAACCAGATCCACCACATCGACACTTCCTCTTTCGATGAGTTTGTGTCCACTATCGAGGATTTGGATTTGTCTTATAACAACCTGAGGACGTTGCCTTGGGAGGCTATTGCCAGGATGACCAACATAAACACGCTAACTCTGGATCACAATCTCATCGACCACATAGGAGCCGGAACATTCACCCTCCTTACCAAACTGGTTCGACTGGATATGACCTCGAACCGCTTGCAGAAACTGCCCCCAGACAGCCTCTTCCAGCATGCCCAGGTGTTGTCCGACCCCAAAGGCTCCTCCAGTTCCTCCCGGCTGACCGTGAGCTTTGGTGGGAACCCACTCCACTGTAACTGTGAGTTGCTGTGGTTGCGCAGGCTTACAAGAGAGGATGACTTGGAGACTTGTGCCTCACCTGAGCACCTGATGGACAAGTACTTCTGGTCCATTCAGGAGGAGGAGTTTATCTGTGAGCCCCCACTCATCATCAAGCACCATTCCACAAAGCCTTATGTGATGGAGGGACAAGGAGTCACCCTCAAGTGTAAGGCCATGGGGGACCCAGATCCTGCTATTCACTGGCGTTTTCCTGATGGCAAGTTGGTACACAATAACTCGCGTACCATCTTGTATGATAACGGCACTCTGGATATCCTGATTACCACCCTGAAAGACAGTGGTGCATTCAACTGTGTTGCCTCCAATGCAGCTGGCATCGCCACCGCAGCTGTAGAGATAAACATGATCCCGCTGCCATTGTTCGTCAACAACACTGGTCACATGAGGGAGGACCCTGGCCTCTCTGACATAACCACCTCCACCAAATCTGGCAACAACGACACCAAGCAGGATAAGAGGGTGGTGGTGGATGAGCTGACATCCAACTCCGCCATGATCCATGGCCATCTGAGCGACACATCCCTGGAATCAGGATGTACCAAATTCAGTATAACAGCACCATGGACGACACATTGGTTTACAGGTAAAGAACATACAATATGCATTGGTTAGCATGGAAATGTCATATAATGTTGCCTAGCACAGCATGTTTTGCATGACAAAATTTGGCCACAATATTTATTTTTTGGCATTTTTGACCCACTATACCCCCTACACATTAACAACAATGATTAAAAATGTTTCATTCACTTCCTGAGGATTATTTTGGGGTATGTTGCCTTGAGGCAACACTGTGTGACAATGGAAAGCAATAAAACATAGTGTCAGGATTCTAAATAGTTGGAAAATAAATCGAATTATGTGAAAGTTAATTGAGTTTTAAATATTTAAAATACTTAAAAACAAACAAAAAACACTGCAGAACCTAATTTCACCTTATTTTCAATGAAATTCTGTTAGTATGATGCAATATTGTGATGCAATGTTTTGATTTTGACAGATAAAACCATGCTAAAACATAAAAAGAATCAAATAATTTTCAGGTAATCAGAATTAGCTTCCATTTTCAAAACAAATGTGATGAGACTGGTAAAATTGACAGTATGCTGACTGCTACATAACAAAATTGACTAGAATGGGCTTCTATAATATTGAATGTACTAAACAATTTAGACTTCCCAAATAAACAAAAACACAAATAATTCTAAATAAAAATTTAGTCAAGTGGCTGCTTCACTTTCTACTTGCTATATCCATTCCACTGTTGCTTCTAGGGAACAAACGTATTTGAACAATTTTGGATAACAGAAGAATCATTTATATGATGCATGTTTTAAAAATGAACTCGTTGAAAAATTGTAAAAACTGTTTTTTCTGAAAGAAACTGTTGTTACAATAAAATAATAAAACCAAAGGTTCACAAATACCTACCTGGAGATACTTGGCTGAAGTACAAGCTTTTTATTGCTATATTTAAACTCTTCATTTTAAAGCATTTGATAGTCATTAAATATGTATCATGTAATTCTAAAGTGAAGAAGATTGGATTGTTGCCCTGAGGCAACGTGCTATCCACTTAGCTTAGCTTTTAGGTAAAAATCAAAATTTTCCCAGTATGTAATGGCAATGAACGGCACGCAGTAGCTGACTCTTAGTTTCACTTTGCCAGCAGTATGGAATTTTAAATGTGAGGCAGTATACAGAATAGGGGGATGGTACATTGCCCTCATATCAACAAGGGAAAGACTTCTGATTTACAGGGGCCATAAAAGGCATTCATGATTCAGCGAAATGCACTGTATTTCACCGAGCATCCTCAAAGGAACCGAGAAAGCAGCACTTCTGCCACTATGCACACTGCATTATGCAGCTTAGCATCCACATTCCCTGTCCAATCACAGAGGAGTAAAACATTTCTGACATTTATTACCTCTTGGAGAGCTTCTGCCACAGACTAAAACCCTCTGAATAATTTCAGATACCATGCATTTAGAAGGAGCCGCTCCAGCTGCTAATCACAAATCCTTTGGCTCATGAGCTGCTTGGACAAACATTAGATCGGATTTAGATCGGACATTAGCTCATTATTAAAGATTAGCGAGGCTGGAATTTGCGGACAAATCGCCTCCATTCTTATGCAAAGTCCAGCCGAATACACGGAGTGTGTGATGTTGCTTTTCAAGGACAAACATCAGTGCTTTTCAGAAGGCAAAACCATGAAAGTGGGTAAGCTGAATTGCCTCTAGTGTATCGGAACAATTTTCTGCTAAATGGCTTTGCGGGGTGGAAGCATTGTACAGCGTCAGTAAAAACTGAGAGAATAGCAATTGAATCCACATGCTGCTTATAAACCAGCGCAAACTGGGTGCCTCTAAAGGCCACAGTCATAAAAGTGCTGACAAACACCAGTTTTGAAGAGTGGAATTTACAACATAGGAGAGAGGAAGATTGAAAGCGAAGAAAGCAGCGCTCAAACGCGATGATGCCGGGCCAAATTTATTACACAATAACGGGTTTGCGTTGGTGAAAGACGAGCTCGATAATTGATAACTCTTGAAAAAGCAGTAAAGCTGTAAAGCTGGGGATATGAAATGACTTCGTTTTGCCCCGTGACAGCAAACATTACACATCCAAGCTAGTTCGAGAAATGAAGGGCAGTATAAAGTCCAAAGTCTGATAAACTGACATTTTGAAATCGTTAGCGTGATTTATGAAGTTTGCCGCATGCCCTCTCTATCACGTAATACATCTCACATCCATGATTGCTCACCTGTGGTGCGTAGTAATTAGGTCCCAAAATGGATCGACTGCTTGCAATAACGGCATATGGGGTAGAAACGGCATTAGCGCAGACAGATGCACCCTAATTATACTTCGGTACATGTGCGCCCTAAAAAATACACGTTAATTGTGTAGACTTTTGTTAAATGTATTATTTAAACCGGAGACATTATCAGGACAGGAGACAGTTGACTTGTTGCAAGGGCGTAGCTACGGGGAGGAGGCTTGGGGTGGCCTAGGCCCTCCCCATGGAAGCCAAGCCCTGATTTCTGACTGCTGAAAAAAGGGTGAACCCAAAGACAGTGAGCATTTTTCCACTTAAGTAAATAACTGACAAAGCTCTCCTTAGGTCATCAGCAATTTTTGGTGGATGCTATCACCATGACCAGCGTTTACCTGGCTGCATGCTGGCTCTGGTCATGAACCGCTGTTTTTCACCAATTCTGATATAAGGCAAGGAACTAAGGAACATATATACACAGTATTACCCTACTCAAAGGTTTCTGCAGATTGTGGGAACTTAGCTGAGCTATGCCTGGTCCTAACTTAGGATGCTTCTTGCCTAGCTAGCGAACTACATATCCAGTGAGCTAGATAAATGCTAACGTTGACTATGGTAAAAATGAACAGTAGTTCAGTACTACAAAAAATTATAAGATAGTCTTTAACATTTCGCCAACAATGCTTTGTAATACAAATGCTAAGCCTCTGGTTGATTAGCCTTTGGTGGTATGCTAAGAGCTGCTGTAGTAGCCAGGCAGTAAACCCCTTAAAATCCCAGGCTTATTACACACTAAGCCTTATTATTCAGTAATTGCATGGACTTCATTACCAACTGGTTTATTCTTAGAATTTGGAATGTGTGTAATGTAGATGTGAGTAATAAATGTTGGGCCCACTGGTGATCCCTGGCCATTTAAGGGGTTAAGTGCAAGGTCATCGATCCTGTGTTTAAAATTTTAGATTTTATCTGTTTATGAAAACTACAACAAAGCAGGCTAGTTGGTTCTTGGCTATGCCACTGATATTTTTAAAAATATGAGAAGGGTAGCTTGTAATGCCCAACATGGTGGTTGTTGAACAGGAAGTTCTGTCCAACAAGTTGCCTTGTTGCTAAAAATGTTACTGCCTTTGCCATGGAGATATGAACATATGCCAACATGAAAAACTTAAAAAAATATTTTTTTTGTGTGTCATTGAACGGAAAGGAACAAATTATTCATATCATTTTTCTCAGATTTGACCAATGATTTTAAAAAGATTGACATTCCCAATGAACAAATGCACATTCAAATATAGAGAATGTCCATTTGAATATTAAATCCTCTTAAATGTTTCAGGCCAGTCAGTTTGTAACATTATCACATGACGGCTGCCAAATAGAGGGAGCCTTTAAATACTGTGTCCACTCACTGTCCACTCTATTAGACACTCCTACCTTGTCAGTCCACCTTGTAGACTTAAAGTCAGAGACAATAGCTCATCTGCTGCTGCACAGTTTGTGTTGGTCATCCTCTAGTCCTTCATCAGTGGTCACAGGACGCTGCCCACAGGACGCTGTTGGCTGGATATTTTTGGTTGGTGGACTATTCTCAGTCCAGCAGTGACACTGAGGTGTTTAAAAACTCCAGCAGCACTGCTGCGTCTGATCCACTCGTACCTGCGCAACACACACTAACACGCCAGCACCACATCAGTTAAGAATGGGTGTTACAATCCCGTTCAAAAGCCCTACATTTTTTAAAACATAGCTTAGCCTCCAGTTTCAGACAGATAGAAGCCTGGGCTTGCATGCCTATAAATAGCCACCCAAGGCAAGTGGACAGACGACCTATAAAGACTTTGTCTGAGCTGTGTATCTCTCTCCGAGCTGGGATTAGCATGTTCCGAGCTGTTGTTGTGAGCTCCCTTTTGCAATTTCTCCAAATGTCAGAGGAAGGCCGGGAACGTGCGTGGGGGGTGGTCTTGTCGGAAACTCGTGTAAGAATGCATGTTAATCGCGAGGATCTAGATGTTGGCAGCACTGCAGTGTAAGAGGGTGTGAGAACATGGAAGAGAGCGTTTATTGCAAGTCCTCTGTAGGAGGACATTAATACAGCGAAAGAAAAAAAAGCCCCGGTAGGATGAGCGCCTGTATTAGCATATAAAAGGAGATGGGTTGTAAATACGCTTAAGTACCTTGTAAGCATGCCCAGATGTTTGTCAGGACGCCTTTTCCCCACTAGAGTGGTACATTAACACCTACAGCATGCCAGCGTGTCCTCAAAAATCCAGCTTCGACGTTCAACATCCATTATGCGAATGGATCGAAATGAATGGCTCTAAACCGTCACTCCATCTACCAAGCCTGAGCTTGAATAAGGCTTAAGATATCTCAAAACTTCTGAATTTCAATGCCATGCGCCCACAAAAAGAGAGCACTATCTACGTCAATGACAAATGCTGGCTCTCCATTGAGGGAAAGAAAAGGGACAATGGGAACATTTGCAACGGCCGAGCCGCCTGCACAGCCATTAGCATTCAGCACAGCCGCTTTCAAAGATACCATTAAGGAATGCATCTGGGAAAGTATGACCAAGGCGCTGTAGGAGAAGTCTCAACTTCAAAGATTTCAGTGGTGTGAAATCATGCCTGTAAGTACAGGATCAGACGCAGCAGCATGAGGACGGCCTACATACTGTCCAAAGCTCAAGAGAGCATAGGGCTTGTGCAGGGAGCCTGTAGCAAAACCAAGAGAGAGAACACAGACAAATGTGGTTCCAGGGTAAAACTTGTAGTTGTGTAGTTAACTTCTAGTGTTGT